TATTAATGTATATGTCAGAGCCCTAATACATGTATTAAACAGGCTTTCGTGTACCTATTTGAGCTCCGGAAATGATTTTTGGATCATTTTGTCTCTCCTTCTCCTCCTCCTCCTATTTCGATGTGTAGCGATGTCCTTGTACGTTACATGTGTGTAATATTCTGGTGAACGTTTTGCGCCCCTTTTTGTTGATGCACCTTATGCCAAAGCCTGCCCTTAGAGGGATAACTTAATGTCTAGCTTGTGATCATGTGTAACTTAGTTTGGACTATCTACTTTTGACGATGCTGAATGATTTAGTGATATATTCATAATATTGTGCCCTATTATATACATGTATGCACCTATACATGAAAATATATATGAAGATAAAGAAACCAGAAAGATGGATGTGGAGTCTTCTTGAGAAATTGCCAAAAGACATGATGGTGTTATGGTGATCTGTTATGGGGGCCTTAGCTTTATGTTTGTCGCAATCATGGGAGGATAGAGATAGGTCTTATTAATAATTAATGACTTACCCCTCTCGTCAGATCCTGATCAGTCATAGTTTCAGTTGAAGTCATTAGTAGCAGCTTACTCTCTGTTGATTGGGGTATCTTGGTCTAGAGGTTGAGGTGTAAGACATTTATCTTTTGTATCAACATTCTCCTTCTGTAAGTTTTCGGAGTCTCTTTGGTAGCAGATCTAGATATGGATAAATAAACCAACAGATGAAAAGACAGCAAATGTAGATGAAAGGACAATAAAGCTGGGGATAGATGACAGAAAAGATAATTGAATGGACAACCGATCTGGAGAGATAGATGAATGGACAAATAGGTGAATGAACAAATAGATGAATGGACAATAAATGAATGAACAGCTGTGTATAGATGCGTGCATGAACAGCAGTTATAGAGATCAGTGGACAGCAGACCAAGAGATAAACGAATGAGCTAGTAGGTGAATGGTTAACATAGATGAAAGACAAGCAGATTCAGAGGTAGATGAATGTATAAACAGCTATGTGTAGGTGCTTGCATGAACAGCAGCTCCACGATTAAAGAACAGCAGATCTAGAGATGCTTATAACTGCCTCAGTTCCAGAGGTGAATAAACAGCCAATCTCGAGATACCTAGCTAAGTATAAGCTGCTATGTTTTGGTTGCTTTACTTACAATTCATGCAATGTGTCTGTTGGTGGGAGGACTTTTATAGAAAATGTCTTATTTATTCCCTTGAAACAGTATGCATGATAGAATGTGATTTAGTGATTTACCTCCTCTACTCATTTTTGTTCTGTGCCTTGCAAATGTTTGTTGAAAGTGAAATTGCTTTTTTAAAATCTGGCCTCCTTAAATTAACAGCAGTGCCTTTTTCAGACACAGGGTCATCGGTCTGACAACTGAACATTTCCCCCTGGCCTTCAAGAACAATCTGTGTTGCATGTTTTTTCCCTCTTTTTTTTTTTTGTCTTTAGTGTTTTAACCCACCTGTCAGTTCAGGTTGATGTTGTTGTAAGGAGCCACGCCCCTAAAATGTCTGTCCGCGGAGTGAGAGAGAAGAAAAGCGAACCTACTTCGATATCAGAATATCAAATCTCATGTTATTTAGACATGCCTAATGAACAACTAATGTGTCTTAACTCTTCGTTTTATTTATTTGTTTCCTCTATTTAACTGCCTGAACGACCTAGAATGTTATGCATTATTATTGCTAGTTCTTTTTTTTGTTTTGTGAATTGAATAGTGCCATTTGTTTATTTTGAATCCCTCTGTTTCATCATGCATTTGTCTTGTTTTTATTCTATCTATCGCCATTCATTTATGTTTTTTTGTTTACTCTTTTAACCTTGATCATAGAGTGGACTGCGCACTAACCGGTGTGTACGTTTGTTTGTTTGTTCCTGTAGGTCTAGGCCCTGCGGCCCTTCCACCTCTGTCGTGGCCCGGCCCTCTGCCCCCACCACCACCACCTTGCCTCAGTAAGATTTTCTCTGTGCCATTTAGTGTAGTCATATGTCCACAGGAGGGCGGCACACTTTTGGATCAGTCTTCAGCTTTGATACATTTGAAACCTCCCCCCCCCTCCTCCCACTTGCCCCCCGCTCCTTCTTCCCCTTTTCCTTTCCCTATCTTCCGACCCAGGCTTCGATCAGACAAACAATTTTTTTGTGTCTTCGCGCAATGAGCAGAAATATTAATTGTTATAAGTGATTCAAAAGCAGCCTATTAATCTCTTGAAAATTAACCCGTGCTTAACTTGCTCAGGTTGCATTTTGATGATTTGAAATGCATGGCGCCGTTTCTTGTTTC